CTATAAAAAAGTAATCTATATTTTCAAATATTATTATACCAAATTTTATTTGAATATTCTAAATTATTAAAAAAATATATCAGTAGCATATTTATAGTACCAATACAAGCAAATTTGCCTATATTGATCTACAATCTAAGAGATATAAATTATATGTCTTAAATACCACGATTTATCCAAGAAAAACTTTTTTTCTTATTAAGCTAATCGATCTTCTGTATTAAAAGAAAGTTGTAAAGCTTATTAAGATACAACTAATAGTGGTTAGATCATCTAAATCAGCTTAGTAGATCTCGAAATATCATTAAAAATGTGTTAATAACTATAAAATTTTAAAAATTTTTATAAAAACAATATATTGTTTTTATAGAAATTTTACATAGTTGTTAACATATTTTTAATGATATCTCAAGATTCACTAAGCTGATTTGGATGATCTAACCACCATTAGATGTATCTTAATGAGCTCTACAACTTTCTCTTAATACAGAAAATTAATTAGCTTAATAAGAAAAAGTTTTCTTTAGACAATCGTAATATTTGAGATATATGTAATTTATATAATAATTTGAGTTATATTTTACTATATAGTTTGTCTAGTTTACTCACAGATTATTAATTAAAAACTTTATATATAAACAAATAACTTATTATTAACAAAGCTATATATGAACAAAGTTTTACTTTTTATTAAATATAGTATTTTAAATATAGTCAAATTTCTATAAATACAATATCTCTAAATACATATTCTATAAAAAACTTTTATAAATATATATAGCCTTGCTGTATCTCTATTATATATATATTTATAGATTTTTACTTCTTTAAATGCAATATCTCTCTAAATACAAGATTTTTTAAAATTTCTATATAGTTTGTATAAATTGTATTTAAAGAAAGTTGACTGTATAATGGATATAATAATGTAAAGTAGTGGTTAAGTTGTCATTCTCCAAGCTGCAGACCTAGAGTTCGATTCTTATCAGCAGTGTTGTCACGAGACAGTTGTGGACAGTAAGTTTGAACACTTTGGACAATTTTGAACAATTAAATAAATTAAAATTACTCAAAATTTTATTAAGATAACCTATATTAATTTCTAAGTAAAATATATTCAGCATATAAAAAAATATATAATCATATATTTTTTAAACAAAATTATTAATTATTAAAGCTTGAATATGCTCTGGACACTTGTGGACACTTGGATACTTGGATGTTGGACAGTACCAAAAAAGCCTTTAGATAGTCAAAACGTACAACACTGCCCACCAGAGACATTTTTCACAAAAATAAATCTATGTTTAGATAATATTAATTCAACAATTGGTTAGACATATCACTTGTAATCTTGGTACTATCATTTTGAAATGAAAGCTTTAGGATGATTCAAATTCAAGAAACTAGAATATTTGAAACCTGTTTAGCAAGATCTGAGCTAGAAGTAGTAAAGATCTTCAATGATATTATAGAAAATTAGAACTGGAGACTGAAAATCATATGAATAACCCTGAAGCAAGAAGGGTCCACCAACCTGACCACTAGAGTTATACTGAAAAAAAAGGTCCTATACTACAGAATTAGAAACCAAAAGAAGTAAAACCAGAAAGCACTTAGAGCCTAGATATAACAACCCATCTGAGCTAACTAGTTTGGTAATTGGGAAAAAATCAGTATAAAGGCTAGTTAAAAGTAGATATTAGGATCAGAATGAACTTTGTAAAAGCAAGAAATAGGTAATAGTAATAGTGATAAAGATCACAAGTACTAGTCTTCAGATTGGGGTATAAGTTATTAAAAAATCTAGGTAATACATATGTAGAGTATGAACTATTCTAGTAGGTTTACCACGAAGATAAAGTAGTCTTAAGAGTCTTAGCAGCAGAAATTCTTCTAAAAAAAGTATCTAACAGTGCTAAGTCAATCAGAGGGTTTAAATAGAGAAACTACAAGCAGATCTTATATAGGTATAGCAATTGGTAGATAACTATAGATAGAAATAGATATAGTAGAGCCTTTAATTAGGCAATGACTAAAGTTGTATATATGACTGATTGTACTTTCATTGATATAACAAAGTCAAGGGGTACTTATTCAATATTCTGATAATTAAATTATAAAGTTAATAAACCATATCAGACCCTCAAGTAGTTATCTTAATATATAAAAAAAAAGAAAGTTGACTATATATAGGGGTTTTGGGTCTTATAGCTTATTAATTAAACTCCCAAATCTACAAACTAGATCAACAGTTTGAGTTGGACTGAAGACAAATTTTAATAAAATTTGTTTCTGTAAACTACAGAGGCTATAATCAAATGCAAAACCCTATAGAAAGTCCAAGTGCAATACAAAATCAGAATAAGAAGTTTTCAAAAAAAGACCAAATTGTAGAGTGAAAACATTACATATAATAGCAGTATTACAGAAAGTCTAGGCAAGTAGAAGATTATACATATAAGTTCTCTGGTTAGAATAACTCAGAGGCAACACCAATATCCTATTACCTCTATATTTAGCAATACCAACATTTTTATACCCAACTTGTAGAGTACTTGTTTAGAAGAATGATTAATAGATTATACGTATAAGTTCTAATATAGAATGGCATTAGATACTTGCTTGGAAAGATGATACAATATTATCAAAACTAGAGTAGTGAAAGAAGCAGTAATACACAACTATAGTTTGTGATAAAGGATTATGTCTTAACTAGAATTGGAAGTACCTCTAGTACTGGTGAAATAACTATAAAAGGCTACTTAGCGTAAAGAATATAATCTACCTCTATATATTTAAAAGTACCAATTTGGAGCTCTAATTACACCTATATAATCTATATAGAAGTCTATAACAAAAAAAGTTAATATAAATATAATACCAACTAAAAATAGCTAGAAGTAATTTAGCTTACTATTTAAGTAATTTTGTGGTATTAGGCTAGTCTTTAACAAGATAGATCATTAAAGCAGAATTACAAATATAGCTAATAGCTAAAAATATATAGCCTTGTAGTTGCTATACAACTTAAGAGGTTCTTATAAACTATGATCCTGATGAATACTATATAAAGAAGTACTTAGAAATAGTAAAAAATATATTGTATTAGATAACTTAGAAAATGCTAAAACCTGAGAATAGCAAACTAGGTAGCGGCAGCAGGATCTGACTTGAGATACGAGACTAGTATACCTGGAGAAACAAGTAGAAGGTCTGAGGTATTCATATAATATTAAGCTGTATGAAGAAATACAAGCTAGTATTAATCAGTACAAATCTAATGATAAGTTTCCTTTCTAATATATGATACCAATGCTTCTTATGTGAGACTAGTGGCATTAGCAAGTACCTGGCTTAAGAAACATGAATAAGAGGCCACTTATTAGAAGAAGTATACCAGTTTAGAAAATACTTCGAATAATAGACATACCAAATTAGAAGACTATTAAAAACCAATTACCTGAATGAACTAATTTGAGAGTTATTAAGATTTGATAGTAAGACATGGTATGAATATAGTGGGTAACTAGATATAGTCTAAACACCAAATCTAGATATAATTCAATATGTGATAGAACGTAGTATACTCTGGTAGGTTTAGATTATAGATAAAATTGTCTAAATCTGTATTCTTAAGTTAGATATGTAGCTATATAAAACAAATATTTAGAATTATCTAAATAAAGATACTGTTATAGAACAGTTTATTATTTTATTAGTTTATTATTTTGATATTATATAATTATTATATATTGTATTATTTAGTTATTATTTTATAGATAAATATAATTATCGCAAAGTACTATACAAATATTTATTGCACTTTAAATAAATTTTATTAATTAAAAATTAAATTACTAACGCGGCTATTTAATAGACCAAAATTTTCTAAAATAAGCTAAAATTAGGATTGTTAATAGGTCAGGTTGGGTTAGATTAATACAATATTTAAGCATTTTATTTCAAATTATTTTATAGCTATTCCAAAGATACATGTTATCTAAACTACCAAAATCTCAAATTCAAAACGTAAAAATGCTCTAAATCCTGATCTAAAATCCTGAATTCAAATGTAAAAATATTCTAAATCCTGATCCAGAATCTCAGACCCAAATATATTAAATCCATCCCAAATCCTAATGGTTTTTTACAAACAAGTATAGCTTGGGTTGCTCTAAGTTGCCCTGAATTTAAAGACAGTTTTGAACTAGCTACAATGTGGATTGGGTTTTATATCAGGTGTATCAGAATATGTATTACATTAGCAACTCTAGTTGATATTAATAAATTTTGTCTAGATCACTCAAAATTTCACTAATTGAATCTACTTAATTGTTGCTTATTAATAGTTAGAGAATGGACTAAAAAATTACTATTTGAAAGTAGATATCAAATGGTAGTTTTTCTAGTCTATTCTTCAGTTTTGTTATACTTGATATCAATCTATTCTCAACAAATTTTAATTACTTTATGACTTCACACAAAGCAGCAAATAGCATAATCCTGTGGTATATTTTATAACAAAGCATAAATGATAAAGCAAATTTGTATTGACAAAACTCAAATATAGTCTAATTCTATATATACTAATTCTAATCCAAATTCTAATACTAATCATGCTAATCATATTGTTAATAAAATCGATGCTAATCGTGCTATGCCAATAATACTGTACTGATAATGTTGTAACGATAATACTGTGTTGACAAAAATTGCCCTGATAAAATATATAAATACTATACAATTATTTATCACACCCAAATTTTATTGATCATTTAGGCAGATCTTCAAAATATTAGTGAATGTATAATATGACTATCTCTTGCATATTTTCAAAATAAATAAAGATACTAAAATTACAATATCTCTTTTTTAGGCTCTGATCTAATAAACATATTAGCCACTTCGAAAGCTGAGTTGATCAAATTAATGAATTCGATAATAGCTTTCGAAAATTGCGAACAAATTAAGGATAGTTACATAAATCCAAAAGATATTGAAATTAATGATTTCTCAGATAACGAAAGCGAAAATACAAGTAGTATAGATATGGTCGATAATAATGTAGTTAATAAACTTCATAAACCAGAAACACCTAATACAAATAGTAAAAAATACTTATTATATTCTAATTTCTAATGATACCATTTAGTACTAATAAAAATACTTTTGTTAATTATTATAATCTCAGAAGAAATATCAAAAAATATAACCTTTGATTCGTAGGACAAAGTTGAAGTATTCTTTTTGGATTACAGTACACGAAATAGTTTCATAATCAATAAATATAGAAAAAAAATCTAAAACAAGACTAGTACAAAATAAAACTTTTTGCTATGAATTCTATAGAACATATAAATCAAAAAAGCTTAGCAGCAGCTCAAAATAGAACACAACATAATACAAGAACAAAGAAGCAAAGCTTTTCTTGGTACTGTAATCTCTCGTTGTGCCAAACTGGATTTTAAATATAACTGTTTTTGTACTAGAAACCCAGAAATTTAAACTTAAGTACAGATCTTTAAACAAAAAAACTTTAAAAGAAATTAAAATAATATCCAAACACAGAAGCTTATCAATTACATCACAAAAAAAGCTTCTTAAAGTTTATTTTTCAGATTTAAATATTCATGATAATGATCTTGCTAATGCAATTAGTAAATTCAAAAGAACAAATAATCTTAATAAGGAAAATGATACATCAGCTCTACTTACTTTACTAATAGAAAAAAAATAGACAATCTACAATAGGCTATTGAATTTGAATTAGATAAAAAAAATTATTTGATCTAACTCTTCTAGATGTCACCAAAGCAAATTAACTTTGGTTAAAGTATTATGATATGGTAATTAATGATAACATAGTGCAAACAAATCAATACCAAATGCTCTTCTCTCTTTTTATTATTGTTGATAACAATAATAAAACAAAACTCATAGGCCAAGCATTAGTTAGTAATGAAATACTAGAAACATATATGTAGATTTTAAAATATATTAATAAAGCTATATACAAGCCACCTATCATAATATTTACAGATGTGAATTCTGCCTTAAATGCTGTCATCTCAGCTACTTTTTTGACCATACACACAGCCCACTGCATATATCATATCAAACAAAATCTTTCTAAAAATTTAAAGTCAAAGCTAGAAAATAAATGGGAGAAATTTATGAAAAAGTTTTATACAGAAATAGCTTATGTGTAATTTTGTTTAAAAAATAATAGAAAAACCTACTTAAAGAATATCCAGCATCTAACGATTATTTGCTCTAAGCTCTTTATCCAAACCATTAATCTTGGGTATGTGCCTATTTATATAAAGTTTTTACTGTTAGTATTCAGAGTACTTCTCGTATTGAAGAATATAATTAGATCATTAAGAGAGAATTAGTAACAAATAGCATATTATATGAACTTGCTAATTGTTTGGATCAACAGTTAAAAGATAAAACTCAATAAAAACAATTCTGTGAATACAAACTACTAACTACATTACCAACAATACCCATAGCTAGACAAGTTCTCTTTCCTGAAGTAGTCAAGATAATAGATGATTATCTAACTGAGCCAATCAGTAATATGATTAAAATAGAAATAAGCCTGTGCCTTTTTTTATATATGAAAAAGTTTGAACCTATAAATAAAAATTTATCTCGAGAACAAGTAAGATATTAGTAATCTTATACGTGTATATTAGATGATAAGTTAATAATAATAAATATGAAAATAAAAAACAGTTGAACCAATCCGGAATGAATTTATAGAAAATCAATACGATATGAGAAATATAATACTTCAAGCTATGTTTGATAAAATTAGAAGTAAAAAAATAAAAGAAATTTGAAAGTTATTGAGCTGTGTAATGAAAAAAATATTACATTCACTTTATAGCAGTTGTTAATCCAATTTCCTTTTTATATTCATATCTAATAAGTATTAACAAAGGCATTATTTGTTACTATTATTTTCATGTAATAATGCATACAAGTATATCAGCTTTTTATATATCGATAATACTTATTCGATGGTATAAAGATTAATATCAAGATAATGTAATACCAGGAGACAATATAGTACCATTTTGATTATGAAAAAAGTATTTCCGACTTAGACCTGAGTAATGGTGCAATTTTTCTAACACGAAAACCAGTTATGATGCCAGTTACTGCTTTAGTCACAAAAAATATCATTGATAAAAGAAATCATTATGGATATATTTGGAGACTAGCACGAAAAGCTACTCTGCTTGTGGTAAATAGTAATAATAGTAAGATAATTCAAATTCTAACAAGCTATATCAATAAAAAAAAAAGTGAATGATCTATAAATCAACAGACTATCACAGCTAATCAGGAAGAAGATAGTATAGCTAATCAATCATTTTCATCTGAGAGTACTGTTAAACGAGATATTAATCAAGATACTTACAAAATGCTGTTAGAAAATGAAATACACGTAACTAAAAAATCAGTTGCTCCTCTTTTTGAACCTGTATTAAACTTTATTACCATTTGAAATCCATCTAAGGTTGTTGATAAAAGAAGGTCGCAAAAGTGCTGATATATTAGCAATATTAAAAAAGAAAAAAATGTGGGAGAAATTCAACTCAAGGATTATATAAATGTTGTACATGTAGCAAAACAAATCATAACTTAGTATTTCACAAGAATAAGGTAGGGAATAATTAAACTGGATATAATTAGCTTGAGTATTTCTTAATATATTTTTTACAAGTATATAGTTAATTTAGAATAGTACATCATATAATCTTAGAGTAGCTATTAATTTAGATATTCGATCTGTCTCATATTATATGATCACGCTGTCTAGTATAGTAATAAATGATTAATACATAGGGAAGTTAATAGAAAAGGGCCAAATTATTTTTAGTAAAATTTTTTTAATTTTTAAATTAAAATATTTTAACAACTATCTAATCAAATTTGATAAAAATTTTTTTATTTTAATCTTGAAATTATATAGAATTAAAATAAAAAAAAAATTATTAAAATTGATTAAATAGTTGTTAAGATATTTAAGTTTAAAGTTAAGAAAACTTTTATTTAGAAAAAATTTGTCCTTTTTCTATTGACTTTCTCTCACATATGTACGTATATACGTATGTATTTGTATATTATATAATTTTTATGATTTTCACATATTATATATAGCTAATTAAATAATTTATTATAATGTATAATATATAGTAGCGTCATATCTAAAAGCGATATATAATATTATTTACAGGGGTATGATGTCTATTTAACTTCTTATTTTATTATTTATTATTTATTATTATTAAAGTAAAATTTAATAAACATGTATTATATTTAACGCTTAATAATTAACAATTAGCAATTAGCAATTATACTTAGCAATTAACAATTAGCAATTATGTTTAGTGATTAATGATTAGTGATTATGTTTAGCAATTAGCGATTAGTAATTATACTTAGCGATTATGATTAGCACTTAATTTGTGGTTTGTATACAAACTAGTGACAAAACATAATAAAAAGTAGGGAAATTTACTATTGTCTTTGGAATCTGGAGTTTCTTAAAGAAAAAGTTTTTTCTTTACTAAGTAAATCTCCTTTTAATATCTAAGTAAAGTTGTAGAGAAGTGTCTTGTGATCAGAATAATAATTAAAATATTAAAATCAGCCTAGTAGATTGTGAGATATAAGTATTTTAGTCTTCGTGACTATATGTTTTTTTTTTATATTAATAAAGAAGAAAACATATAGTCACGAAAACTAAAATGCTTATATCTTGTGATTTACTAGACCGATTTTAATATTATAATCATTATCCTAATCACAAGATATTTCTCTACAACTTTACTTAAACATTAAAAAGAGGTTTACTTAGTAAAGAAAAAACTTTTTCTTTAATAAACTCCAGATTTCAAAAAAGACAAAATCTATATAGTAAATATATTCCCAAAGTTTACTATGGTTTTTTACTGGTTTACTGGCAGATTACAAATTAATGCTTAATATCAGCAATTATACTTTATGTTTAGTACTAAGTAAACTATATTTAGCTACAACAATTAGCTATTAGTCCTAAAGATATAAAAAGGATATAAATTTCTCCAAGTTAACATTAGACCTGCACTGTCCATCTCTTATACCCAGACTTATCTCTTCCCTAAATTCTCTCTTGTAATATTATAGGATTTTTTAGAAATAAAAATCTAAGGATAGTCTATCTTATTCTCTCTAATAAAAATATATTTTATCTATAAATTATTGTCTGCCTGATCTGCTACAAACAAAAGGGTATAGTTTCTAGTTGTAGTAGAAATTATACTTACCTGTTGGGCATCACTATAAACCTGTGAAGGATCCTTGTAGCTATATCATATTATAATACTGCTGTTAAGAAGACCACAGTACTGTAATATTTGGTGTCTCCTGGTGGAAACATATTTTAAAACTATTACCAGATGATATTATCTCAAACCCTCTTGATTAATAGCTGTTTACCAGAGGATAGTTATCTCGAATTAAAGTGAGTATTGCGGACGACAACCCTCTACCACCAAGAATTTATTTAGCTAGTGCCTAGATGTATTTCTAGAATATTAACAGATTCATCACGAGCCAAAGTATAGATATAAGAATCCAATTTTAAAAACAACTAAAAGATTTTCTACGAACCAAAGTGTAGGCATAAGGATCAAACCCCAAGAACATTATTTTATTTTCTTTTCTCTCTCTGCTAGCTACTAGCATTTGAACTTTGCTTTATAACTGATAGAGTTACTGAATTATATAACAAATATATTATAAACCACAAGCACAAACATCAACAAAACTCTGCTTTTCCCTTTACTACTCAACAAACCCTAAACCCAGATCTTTCTTGTCAACTTTGTTATTTCCCATCTAGAACTAGTCCTTGTATTTTTCTTTAAACACCTTTTAAAAGATTTTAAAATTGGTATTCCAACACCTATGCTGTATATAGTTATACTTTCAAAATTATCACTAGCTTTGCACACCTTACTATAACTCAAGACAGACTAATTCATACCAATATTCGAGATATTATTTTTTAGTTGTCAATATAACTGAAATCTGAGAGACTTTAAAGAAATTGCTCTTGCATTACTCCAAAGATATACCACTTTTACTGCTCTACTTGCTATTAACTTTGAATACCAAACTGTTTTTGACCACTATATTGACTTAGCCTATAGTTTTGGATATGAAGAACCAGAACAATATGATAGATATTTTGAAAACTTAGATACTCTTATATGACAACAACAACAAGATGATACTTATAGTTTCAGCTATCAAGACCAACATATTATCTACTGAGTTCTATCTTCTTCTAGCTTACTCTCTTATTATGATGAAACCAACAACCCTAATTATTAACCTCCTTCATGCTCATCTCAAGAAATATTTGAAGTATCTTTAGTACTAGTTAGAATATATCAAGACCTATTCATTAAAATAAACCTTGCTACTATCCCAAAAGTATACATCAAAGAACAATACTTATAATGCAAAGCAACTGTATACTAAGAAGAACCTATTGAAGAAGAAGAAGGATCTGATAGTACAGTCCAAAATATCTTTACTCTAACAGAAACATTTGAACTATGAGGTCTACCAAAAAACAACTTACCACCTTCTGAACAACAAGAAGATAGCTTATCTCTACCTGCATAGCAAGAAAATAATTTACTACTATTAAAACAACAAAATAATAACTTACCACCACCAGAGCAACCAAAACAACCTGAGAACAACCAACAACCTCCACAACAACTATCTGTAGTATCTCCATAATAACTACCTGTTACATCTTCTATAAATATGGCCAAAGCTGCTGCTTTAAATGCTGCTACAAATGCAATAACCCAGTTGGCTAATGCCTTAACCCCTGGTGAAGAAAAAACCTTCATAAAAATTAATTTCTTTACTGGTGATAAAAGCCAAGATCTAGGAGAATAGCTAGAAGAATTCAAATGAGCTGCTATTGCTAACAACTGAACTGCTGCTCAACAACTTGCTCTTACTCTTGTTTATCTAAAAGAAATTGCTACTAAATAGTTCCAAGATCTTAACTCTGCTTTCAATAATTTTAATGATAATACTGCCCAAGCCTGGAGTTTTTATTATCTTTTTAAAACCTAATTTAGCTCTACTAAACAAAAGATAAAGTGGCAAAAACAATTATTTGAAATTAAACGAGGAACAGACACTGTTAATGCTTATATAATCTGTTTTAAGAAGTTACACACTAGAGTAGACCCTGCTAATAGCTTCTCTGATATTTTTATTCTCTACAGAATATACTATTGGAGTACAAGCTAGAGCTTCTGCTAACTTAAATGCTACTATTGCTGCTACTCATAATTGAGAAAATAGCAAACTTATCTCTGCTTCTACAACAGATACAGACTAAGCAATTAAACAACTAACAGAACAGATTGCTCAACTTAG